CCCCTCCACCCCCCCACCCCCACCCCTGAGACATCAGCACACAGCCCCTCTTCCTCCCTGGGTCCTGAGTTCTCTGGTTCCATCTCAGGGATCGCCGCCTCTCTGGGTAGGGTTCCACTTTCCGCTCTTCTCCCTTCATGGTTCCAGAGATCTCCGCTCCCAGCCTGCAAAGTCAGTCATTCCCCTCCTTGCCACAAAACATCCACCTTTACATCTATAACCTTCACAGTCAGTCCTGGTAACAATTGTTCACCCTTGCATCACAAGAGACCTGTCTGCATTTCCTTTAATCAGTTCTACCTAGACAGATTGGATACTACTCAGTGGAGATTCTACCTTGCTCCACGCTCTCTGGATCTAGGTTCTGTCTTGAAAGCTTGTAAGCCAGTCACTTCTTGCCTTTGTAGTGCCCCCATTTTGGATAGTCAATGTCCAAGTTGCCCACCCCTGTCTACTCTGTGTATGGAGGGGGTGGGAATGATCCCTGCTGCAAAGATTTGTTCCCTCTTTTGAGCTATTGCATCCACAGGTGTAGGTCAAATTCATCTAATTGTATCAGGTTACTCTTTTTTTTTTTTTTTCCTCTTCTTTCTTCTTCTAGTTGAGCTCCGATCACCCAGTCATTGAGGCTAGGTCAAATGGGTATTATCTGCATGTGTGGGTGCTCTTATGGATATGCCCTCTCTTCTTATTTGCAGCACACTTCACCCTCCACTCCAGTCCTCCATGGCTATGTCACTGACCCTGGGCCCCAGATCTTGCCACCTGGGTTCACAGGAGTCTATTGACCATTGTAGGGCTTAGCTCGCAGCCTTATAAGCTGTTTTTCCCTCTTTTCCCCTTGTCGGTGGCTAACGTGGTCACACATCAGAGCGTGTATTCCCATTGAGTCTTAGTCTTGGAAGGGGGTTTACTCTGAGTGGATCTGACCCCTCGCCTTGATGTCTCCTGATTGGGCAACTTGCTTGTTCTTGTAGTCATTGGTTCGTCTGTTTAGTGTTTTTCCTGTCAGTCTTTCTTTCAAGAGGTATCTTCTGTTCTTCTAGCTACTCCAGGCTGGTCTGCTTGTCCTCTCGGGGAAATTTCCCACCTCTGAAGATTCTGGATGCTGTTCAGGATTCCACCTGTAGTCTTACGTAATGCAGGGGCTCCACAGGCAGCCTTCTTCACTGGGCACGTTGTATCCCCATTTTAGGTATTCCAATCAGTTATAGGAGGAAGACAGACTTACAAGCTTTCTATGGTGATATTTCTGGCTTTTCCTTTCTCTTCCCTTCCAGTGTCTATTTTATAATGTAATGCAAGGAATACCAAGATTCAGTAGACCGCCAAGCATCTCAACATTACTTCCCCCTTCTTCCCCACCCCAACCATATCTCACTCCATGTACCCCCTTGCCCTATTGTTCCAAGGCCGTGCACACACCACCACTCACATCTGTCCCACTTAGCCCATGCGAACCTGCCCACTTGTTCTCCCCTCTGCCCTGCTCCTCCAGTCCCCTCTCCCCCC